GGGGTTGGGTTTTCGTCGCTTGGCAGCGATGTTGTAAAACAAGCCGATCTTCGCGAGCTCGGCAACCAGGTCACCGCATGTTTTTTTTTGCCTTTGGTTTGTATTTTGCGGTAACCATGAATGGTGGTCGAGTAGATCATGATGTGCGGGGTGGAGAACCCTCGCTCCGCGCAAGGGGGATGATCGCACCACGTTGTGTTAAAATGGTCAAGCACCCTCGAGGCAGTTACACAGTGCTTACAACTGTCTCTGGAAGTGAAAGCACCAGAAAATAAATTAATTCATACGCAGCTGTCATCCGTACGCAAGGAAGTAAGCACAAGATGCCGAACACCCTTAGCAGGATGCAGCGCACCCTTCATGCGACTCGCCGAATATCTCACGGCGCTTCGCGCTTGGTGATGTGAGAGCCTGGTCCGGTGAGAACCCGGCGTGCTCCGTCCCGGCTTTGTAGGGATGCGAGGTCAATGGTCTCACGACTACGGCATGCACAACTATGAGTACGTGTGAGTCCCCCCCCCTCGTGATACGAATCGACGCTTGATTGACGTCCAACAATACCCTTGCAAGGAAAATGGTGACGATGCTCTTTTTCGAAGGTTGGCAAAGACAGCAGCATATTCATAGGTGTTCGAGTTTTCTTCTCTAGCCCCCCCCTCCCCCCGATAACGGCCCGCGCTCCGCGCGCGGTCCCGATGTACTCACGTTTTCAGTCCCCTCCGCTCTAGAAGAGTATTTCATACTTCATACGACCCTCTTTGAGGAGGTCTGATTTGTCTTGATAGAGTGCTGCTACGAGATTGGGTACAAAAGCAGCAGCAGCAGCGGATCATTCGATAAGTACACCAGTATGCCACGGACACGGGATTGCTGAAAAATCATTCACCATATGTGTGCTCTGTGTAAATAGCCATAGTATAGCTTGTACGCCGCACTTTCTTTTCGTGTCCATCTCTCGTGATCTCTTCGCCGCCGCCACCCGTCGGTGTCGGCGGCGGCCCGCGGGCGTGCGTGGTTTGATGAGAACGTGAAGCTTGCAAAGTAGCTTTCGGTACAATTTTAGACTAAACCAGGAGCAATGACGCTTTCGAGAGGTTCAATTCAGCAGGGTTTTGTACTTTCAAGAAACCTCAACCAGACTACTGAAAGAACACAGAGGGGTAGGCGATTTTTACCAACATCATTCGAGTCGAAGACGGGAGGTATCCACCATGACCATCGTCGTGGACACAGGCCGCCTGGAGTCGGACGTTCTCCGTGAAAAGCGCCTTGCGCCTTGTTTCATTTTCCTCTCGTTGCTCTTTCGTGGAAGTACACAACATGCTGACATTTTTTCTCGAAAGCGTCATCGTTCTCTGTCCTGCCGTCGGAATCTATGACGCTGCTGTCGTTTTCTGCCCATTCCACACATGACCTTCGTTTTCCATGCCGACCACGCGCCGAGTGTTGTGTGTTGCTCGATTCCGGCTGCTTGCAAACGGTTGCCGGTGGCAAGAAAGTTCTTGTTTCAAATCTGTCACCACTCCGCCTAGCCATTCAAAATACGCCAGAGGCAATTCATAGCCGGCCAAACACAAGTAATATCTCCATCGTAAAAGCTTATAGCGATAATCACCATGTTTTCAATCCCCCCCCCCGCTTCCCCCCGGTGTTGACCATCGGGGTTCGGTTTTTGTCGCCTGGTAACGACGTNGACGGTTGTAAACAAGCCAATTCACTTCGTGAACTCGGCAACCAGGTTACCGCATGTTTTTTTTTTACCTACGTTTTTTTTTTTGGCGGTGACCATAATAGTGGTCGAGTAGATCATGTTGTGCGGGGTCGAGAACACTCGCTCCGCGCAAGGGGGATGATCGCACCACGTTGTGTTGAAATGGTCAAGCACCCTCGAGGCAGTTACACAGTGCTTACAACTGTCTCTGGAAGTGAAAGCACCAGAAAATAAATTAATTCATACGCAGCTGTCATCCGTACGCAAGGAAGTAAGCACAAGATGCCGAACACCCTTAGCAGGATGCAGCGCACCCTTCACGTGATTCGCCGAATATCTCACGGC